AGGAAGGCGGAGGTCCTCCCCGAGGACGGCTGAGGGACCGGCTGGAGCAGAGACGCTTAGTGTGACGCCCACTGTCTGCTGTCCTCCAGCTGAGACGCTGGTCTTCTCCCGACTTCATGCTCGGGGCCAGGCTGGAATGTGCGTCTGCTCTCCTGGCTCAGGCCTGTGGAGACTGGACTAGAACCTACACCTCCGCCTCTCCGGGGCCTCCTGCTCACTCAGCGGTGAGCCTCGGGTCTTGTCAGCCTCCGTAATCGCACGAGCCAGTCCCTTTTACGAATCGACACCTGTCTGCCAGCTGCCACGCCTCTCCCTCCCCGGCCTGTTTCTCTGAGAGCCCAGCCTGTTACACAGCTGACCTGACCACTCTGGGCCCGCTGCGCTTGCTCGGGCATCCCCGCTCTGCCCCTGTGTCCTTCCCACTCTCCTCCCCGTCCGGGCTGCAGGGTTCCCCTCGGAGCCAACGTCGGCCTCTCCAAGCTGCTGAACGGGGGTCCTGTCACTCGCTGGGGGAGCTGCTCAGGGTTGTCCCACCCAGACCTGGGCAGCATATTAAAGAGGGGTGACGAAGACCCGAGGCCGCCTGGGTCCTGGAGGGTAACCTCCACCCTGGCTGGGAAGAGTGGGTGTGCAGCCTCGAGGCCCAGGCCCGTGTGTGTGAGGGGCTGGAATCACAGCGGTGCCATGCCTTTTGGATGGGCCAGGCAAGGCCTTGTCCACATCCCACCTGTCCTTCCAGTGCCCAGTTGGACATGGCGTAGGGAGGGCCCTGCGTATAATGACTTCATCTTAAAGCCCAGCTTTTTTTTTTTAAAGAATTAATTTATTTGACTTTAATTTGAGCAGAGAGGGAGAGAGAGCGAGAGAGAGAGGGAGAAAGTGAGAGAGCAAGCCGCCAGGCCGGGTCTCCAACTGTGGTCACCCATGTGGGAGTCCCGTGTCCTTCACCTCCACGCCACCTGCCGGCCCTTACAGCCCAACTTTTATATACGCACACGTATTTTACACAAATACCGGACTTGCCAGAAATGCAGTTTCCTTGTTACAGAGGAAAATTTGCCGTTTCTCTTCCTGCTTGGAAAGTCAGGCTGCTGAGAACCATCTGTTGTTGCTGACCTTCAGGAGACACGTCGGGCTGAGTCTCACCTGTGGCTGACTGCGTCTGGGTGTGGGCGCTGGTGTTTCCTTACTCCCCTGCCTGGCGCGCCCGAGTACTTACGCATCAGCATTGTATGTTCCTTACCGAGTGTTTTCCCGCTTCTGCTTTCTCTCATTTGTGACCTTTAAGAGTTATGATAGGTGGGTAGGGCTACGCTGCTGGCCGCGGTAGGCAGGTAAGGCTACGCTGCTGGCCGCGGTAGGCAGGTAAGGCTACATTGCTGGCCGCGGTAGGCAGGTAAGGCTACATTGCTGGCCACGGTAGGCAGGTAAGGCTACATTGCTGGCCGTGATAGGCGGGTAGGGTTATACATACCACTCATTCCAGGAGGGTAAAGGGTGCTTCTAAGGAATTGTCATAGGTACGGCTGTTTCGGATGGGCTGTTGACTGCTGCCCGTCTGTGGCCATCTTTGCTGTTAGAACGAGGACATCTGCAGGGCCCGGGAACATGGAAAATGACTAACGAGGGCTCTGCCCACTCTGGGACACGGGGACAGGTACGCATCTCTTGAACCCACATGCGGACTGTCTGTCTGCGGTTCAATAGACAGTGTGTGTGGGGGGGCAAGGAAGTCTTTGGTCTACCTTGGAAATCCCGAGAAGGCGTTTGGGCCACACCTGTAAGACAGGTGTGTCTTAAAGAGGCCACGGAGCCGTGAGGGTTAAGCAGCAGGTCCAGCCAGGGAGGTGCCAGTCCGACTCCCCCAAAGTACGCAGCCCAGGGCCTCGTGGGGCTGTCTTTGGACGGAGGGGGATTAGTGAGCGGACGTTGTCTTTGAGGGAGCCTCGGGTGGACCGTGAGTGCACGCGCTCTCAACTCCGCTCCCCGCCCAGTCCCAGGCGCCGGTCTGCTGTGGCACGTTCCGGGCTTGTCACGGGGGACGCGGCTTACCGAGAACGATGGCGATGCTGTACTTGACAGCCTTGACCTTGGCCTTCGGGAGGAGCCCTCGGCTCTAGCTGGTGCACACTTTCCCACCTGCAGGCACAACAGGGGCTGGTGACACGAAGCGCACGCGAGGTGGCCGCTGTTTCTGCCAGGAAGGGCGCGGGGCTCGGCCTGCAGCCTCGACGAGCAGCACCACTTCCGTCCTGGCCATCCGTGCCCCAAAGGCAGAGAGAAGATGGGTCTGGGCTGCTTGCCAGGAACTGCCTGGATTGCAGCTGATATAAAATGCAAATCTCAGGACACCCAGGCTCTCTGGAGACTTGGCTGCGGGCCTCGACTGGCCGCAGATGGAATGCGGCCACGAGACTGGGCGGGAGGCCGTCCCTGGGGAGGGCTGGTCTGAGCTGGACTAGCTGAGACCCCTGTGTGGTCACGTTGGCAACCTGAGCAAAGTCATTGTCATGGGACAGATGCCCTGACCAAGTCATCCATGTAACTCAGAAGCTCCATTTGTGTCTGGATTTCTCCTGTTAAAGGGGCATGAGCATGCCTGGAGTGGAGAGCGGTGAGCACAGGGAGACAGCAGCTCCAGGGGCTGCGGCCTCCCCTCCTGCGTTCCTCCACCCACAGGCTGTAGTGAACGCACATGGGCAGGAGAGCTTTTCAAGCCTTGAGGGCAGGGATTTGGCCCTGTGGTACTCAGCTACCTTTACCATTGGCCATAGGGCCCAGAAAGTCCACTTTAACAAATGCCCCATGGCCAGGTGGTGCTCAGTGGTCCTGGAACCAGACTCACATAAGGAAGGTCCTGGGTTCACCTCCCGGGGCATCCCTGGGCGTGCCAATGGAGGCTGGAGGTGGCTGGTGGCAGGGAGGCCCTGTGGGGGGCACCTCTCTCTCATGAAAAAAAAAAACATTAACCAAATAAAGGAATAAAGAAAGAAAGAAAAGTCCCAGCCAGGGTATCAAAACCTTGCCCAGATGGGAACTGTGCTGAAGGTAACCACGCGGCTGCGGCCGGATGGTCAGGTGCGTGGGTGAGGGTCAGGACCTGTATGGGAGGGTGGCCAGGACAGAGAGCACAGGCATAGGAGCGAGGAGCCGCGGGTGCCTGCGAGCCAGCCCGGCCTGGCATCTGTCAGCAGTGGTGGGACAGAGCGTGGGAACGGGCAACCGGCGTGGGGCGGCGTCAGGGTTGGCGATGCTGGGGCCCTGCCCCGTCTCTGTGGAAGAGGGTTTCTCCCAGGGTTTCTGGCCACTCAGTGCCCCTGGAAATGAGGCAAAGGGGCCCTTCCTCTGTTCAGGCCCAGGCCGGGTCGGAGTGCCCTTTGGTGAGGGGAGCCTGGACAGGATGCCGGCGGGAAGCCACCGGGTGGGACTTGGTGGGCACAGCCCTAGTGGCAGCCTGGGTCAGAGGCCACCCTGGGCCAGTCACGTGACAGGGTAGGTATTCAGGGGAGAGGCCGGCGCTGTGCCCACTGCCCTGTCCACACTGTCACGGCCTCACGTGCGACCTGCCCTCAGTCCCCTGGAAACCTGTCAGGAGCCACTGCTGTCATCGGCCGGTACAGCCTGACATGCAGCGTCTGCTAGGGACAGGGCGCTCGCCCCTCAGGAACTTTCAGTCCAGCAGGAAAGATCGGCAGGGGGGGGGGGGGGGGGGCAAGGTACCGCACACTCCCGCCAGGCCAGGAGATGGGGGGACATGGCATCGTACACTTCTCCAGGCTGGGGAGGAGGGGGCATGGCACCGCGCACTCCCGCCAGGCTGGGGAGGAGGGCCATGGCATCGTGCACTCCTGCGAGGCCAGGGGATGAGGGGACATGGCACCGCGCACTCCCTCAGGCCGGGGAGGAGGGGTACACAACCACCCTCACTGCCCCACGGGGAAGGCTGTGGAGGGACAAGGGAGGGTTCTGAGGCACACACAGGCGTGGGCATGGGCAAGGCGGGCACAGAGCAATGTCCTGAGCCCAGGCCGGGAAGTGTGGCTGTGCTCCCACCAGGCAGCTCGCGCCCGGCAGTCCCATGGGCACAGGACGAGCGAGGCCGGGACAGCCCACCAGGAAGACCTCATGTGCCTTTGAGAGGAGTCTAGGCTGAGCCTGGGGTGGAGGCGGCGGCAGCGAATCGAGACCTCGTGCCTCCTTGCAGTGTGCACATCGCACTGGGGAGGACAGACTGCTGTCAGGAATAACAGAAACGGGGCTTTTCAGGAGGAAGGAGCTCAGTGCCGGTTAGAGTGGATTTGTATTTCTGAACGTTTACCCCGGAAGTCACTCCTGGGGTCCCAGAGCCCCAAAGCCCGATGCCTGAGGAGCGTTTACAGCGGGATTCAGAAGTGTTTGCATGGAGTTCTCACCTGGAGCAGCTCTGCTGTCCGAGGACTCTGGGATGGGGACACACTTCTGGGTGTTGTAACCCTGTAGGGAGGGCCGCGACGTGCATCTCGCTGACCCCGGATTCTGCCAAATCCCTGACTGCACAGGACGGCCCAGGGCAGGCAATTCCCCGCCCAGATGCCACAGCGCCGGGTGAGGGCCGAGTCCCAGGGCACGTCTTGGACAGGACAGAGGCCTTGGACTCAGACCCCAGTACTGGCCGGCTTCGGCCCCTGACGCGCCGTGTAACATTTCCGTTGGGAATGAAGCACGGAGCCAAACTCACAGTGCTTTGGAGATTAAAGGCAGATAAGGTGTGCGGGGTGCTAGGCTCTGTGCTGGCACATCAGGGCCTACCAGCCGGGACGGTGACTTCTGGGGGCATTTCAGAAGGACGTGAGCTGTCTTCATGGGAGTACGCGGGGGTTAGATCAGCTGTCTTTCAGGGTTCTCTGCAGAGGGATTATATGCAACAGAAAATTGCGGGGGTGGATTATGCCCACGGGAGGAAGTAAAGAAGATAGCCGACCCAACCGGCCCAAGCACGCCCTTCCTCCGCTCGCGGCTCCCGGAAACCGCGGGGCTCTGAGCACTTGGCTGGCCTTTCAGAAGTTGTTGACAACGCCGTCTGTGCTCTGAAAGCTGTTTAAGGTGAAAACTCGCGGCTCTGTCCGCAGGGCAACCGGGTGACAATATAACCAGCTACCGACCCCGCCATCTCCCAGTGAGATCCGGGACAGCGACTTTAACCTGACCACTCCAGGGAAGCAAAGCCTCCTGCTTCTTCAGAGACCGCTGAGCTGCAAAACGCCAGTAATTCTCCTTTACTGGGAGATAACAGGATTATTTCTACTCTGGCTTTGGTGAAAGCAGTTAATTTCGGCTGTCACTGTGCATTAGTAGCATGGGTGGCCGCGGTGGCAGGCCAGTCAGACTTGGGACTGGGAGAAGTGCTGGCCTGGACTATGCCCTTCGAGGTCCATTCCTAGGGGGCCTCGCTGGAAATTCAGTCTCCAAAGGGCACCTTCTGTTCATTTCCTCAAGAACTCCGGGAACCAGTAGTTGGTGTAATGTCTATGTTGCTGGACTCCCACGTAGTCGACTGTGGTTCGAGTCCTGGACCCGGTGCCTTAAACTCACGCTGCGCACGTGTGCGTGCGTGCCCAAGATCCTGAGAGGAGAATGGAGGAGAAGGGATTGTGGCGTGGCCATCCCCCCTGGGGGGTGATTTCTTACTTTCTGTCTCTTTGTCTTCTCTCTGTCTATCTGGAGAGCGCATGCGCCCTATAGTGAAAACCTCCCCCCCCCCAAGAAAAAAAATAATTCAGGCCCCTTTCGGAGATACTGGGCCCCCATTCACCCTGTAGGACAACCACCTGCTGGAGCAAGTGTGAACCGGCATTTACACGGAGGGAGTCTGTGCCTGGGGACACGGGACTCTGTGATCCACGGTACACGGACGATCCCCTGTGGGGTGACTTATTCCCTCTCACTGTCTCTGTCTCTCTCTGGCAAGTGTATGTACCCTAAGGCAAAACCTCTAAGAAACAAAAGTAGCATTTCCTCGCTCTCTGAAATGTTGAAAATCTGAGGTTTATATCTGATCAGGGATGGTACACTCCCCTCACTGCCCCCTCCGAGACCCGGATGCTGGCCAGCTGGGCCCCGAGACCAGCTGGTGACCACTCCCTCCCCTGGTGGAATCAACCTGTGGCCGGGCACTGTGGAGGCTGCGACCCGTCCACCTCCACTGTCCGTGGTGGTCGCCTTATAAACAGCCCGGGCGCTGGGGACCCCTCCCTGGACCTTAGCACGCTGGCTTTCGTGGGCTTGGCTCTGGGCCTTGGCTCACCCCTCCCCAGGGCTCCTTTGCCTCTCTTGTCCTAGGAGATCACACGGTGTCTCAGAGTGTCCCTGGGTCACCCGGGCCTCACGCCCATGCCTCTGCAGTGCCTGCACGGTTGGGCTCCCCCGTCACCGCAGCGCCAGGCAGCGAGGCCTCACCCAGACTGCCCTTCCTCAGAGCCCTCCTCTCAGGCTCCCTGAGGTGAGCCACCCTGGAGAAGGTGGGGCCAAGCCCAGGTCAAGGGCAACGTGAGTTCTGGGCCAGGCACCTGACCCACCACTCCAGCCACTCCTGCACCGGGGAGCGAAGGCGGCGTCTGCCAGGACTCAGGCTGGGACTCGGGGCTTCGGGGCTCTGCCTGGCTGCCTCAGTGCCTCGGGCAACCCCGAGTCGCCTTCATGACTGATGTGCCCCGAAGGCTGCTTAGCCCGGCGCCCCTGGCTCTCCCCCTTTGTGGGTTAGGCCGCGCCCCTGCTCACAGCCAGGCTCTGCCCCTGTGTGGGTTAGGCTGCACCGCTGCTCCGGCGGGCGACTGCTCTCGAAGTCCTTCTGCCAGAATGTCGGAGAGGAGCCGGCTTTGCTCTCGAGCTCTGGGCTCCCGGGGCCCTGCAGCTGGCCTGTGCCCCAGCTCAGCTGCTTCGCTGCACACACAGCCTTTCCTCCCCCGGCTGAGGCCCGGCGGCCAGAGTGGTGAGGCCAGGTGCCCTGGCCCAGATCGCATTCCCCTTGGGCTCCAGGTCCTCCTCCCATGCTCACTGGGCTTGGCCCCACTTCCTCCAGGTGTCTGACTTTTGGGGCCCACTGAGCTGCCCCTCCCCAGCAGCTGGGCCTGTCTGCAGATGTGGGAACCTTCAAGCAGGACCGCATTTTTGAGTTCTTTTCTCAGGAGTTTTTAGCCTAGAGCACACCAGGGTTACAGCTAGATCTAAGGGGACTGCAGCATGCCGTGGGAACACAGAATTAAAGTGTGAGTTTATTCTGTGCAAAAGAGAAAACTGAAATCCATTCAGATCTTCTCCATAGCACACGTTCTCCATGAGCTTTCTGGAGACCTTGCAATGGAGGAGGTGCCCTCAAGGTGCCAGTCAGCCCTTTCTTTAACAGAAAGTATTTGTTTCTCCCTCGGCTCAGGTGGAATTGGGAGCCCTGACAGGCCCCCAGGTAATTATGCAGAGGCAGCTGGCCGTTCCCTTCCCCAGCTAGAGGGCAGCCCAGGCCCCCACCCCCAGCAGGTGCAGCCCCAGGGTGCAGCCCCGGGGTAAGGGTCTGCCTGGGGGCCACGGGAAGAATGAAGTTCGCTGCCCCTAGGCCGGGTTAGCTGGACCACCTGAGTAGGCCTCCTCTCCCTCTCCCCGCAGTCCTGCCTGCTGGATGTTGACGCTGAAGGAACCTCGTGGCCCGGACACACGGCAGGGCCTCCACCTGCTCGAGTTTCTGAGTGTCCGCACAGGGCAATGCCTTCCTCTCGGCCGCTCGGGCCAGCTGGACCGACTGATCAGAAACACGCTTCCAGCCTGTTAAGGCTAAGGATACTCTGGGATCACGCACTTGGCGATGTTCCCCTGACTAAAGCAGAAACGGACACCTCATAGACAGTGCTGTCTTCATTAAAACCTACACGTGGGGCCAGCAGAGGGCGGGGTCACTGCACTCCCATGTAGTCGGCTGCGATTTGAGTCCCGGACCTGGCAGCTTAGAACTCAGGTCAGGCACGTGTGCATACATGCCCCAAATCTCGAGAGAATGTTGGAGAAGGGATTGCAGCATGGCCATCCCCCTGGGGGGGCGTGGTTTCTCTCTTTCTGTCTCTGTCTCTCTGGTGAGCGCACATGCCCTATAGCAAAAAAATACTCTCTAAAAAAATACCTACACATGTGCTTTGGCGTGGTGGGCAGCAGTGTGGCAGGGACACTGAGGCTGGGAGCTGGGACCCTTAGGCCTGCTCAGCAGAAGTGTCCCACCTGGGCCCTGGGAAGGCAGCTGTGTGCTACTGAGCCCAGAGCCAGAGACAGGGCTGGAGAAGTGGAGGAGAACAGTGTATATCGATGGCTATCAGCTGCGTTCGGTGGGGTAGCAGACAGAACAAGCTCAGAGCTGGTTGGGTCATGGACAGGAATTAAAGGGAGTCAGAGACAGTCCCCACTTGGGGCTCTTACAGAGCTGCACGTGCCACCAGGTCTAGTCCCCACCGGTGTTGGCAACAGACTTCGCATGGTCCAGTGCAAGATGAAAATGCAGACAGGGCATTGCGTGGAACGTGGGCCCTTCTAAGCGTGCAGGACCCAGCTGGGACTCTGGCCTTGGCCCCCAATTAAGTTGTAACATTGAGAAATGTCACCCAGCAAAGATCCTTTAAGATTCACCCTAATTACTTGCCACTGGGTGAAAAAATATGACTAATAACACAAGTCGATGTCATGAATTTATATCTGATAAATTCTGTGAGTGAGCGTGGACACGGGGCACCTGCTTTCTGTGATGGTGCTGGAGAAAGCCTCACTGAGGAAATTACAGCGGGTGGAGCGAATAAAGATACATTCAAAGAAAAACCAACCAAGGGTTCATCCTGGAGGCAGGACTGGCCTCCCACCTGCTGTTCCGTTTCCAACAGCCTCAGGCCTGCTTCCCTCAGGGTGGGGGACAGGGATGAGGACTCTAGACCTGCGCATTGCAGGACAGACTTTGGAGGTGGCGTTGACTGGAAACAGAAGCCACCTCAGCTTTTGAGGAGTTATGTTGCCACGTAAGTGAGGGAGACATTGCTAATGCTTAGAGCTTCCGGCCTTTAACATTTTAGCGGTCCTGTAGGTGAAAAATCATATACACTTGGGGGTTAAATGTCCACTTTCCTATTTATCAATGAGGTTGAGAATTTGGCTAGTCTTGCTTTCCATATTTGAAATGCCTGTTTGTGTTTTGCTGAGTTTCAAATTGACTTGTCTTTAAAAACATTGTTTACGTGGTGTTTAGGAGTTCTTTATGTATTCTGGATACTAGTACTTTTGCAGGTTGTAAGTAGCTTTTCTTACTTTGTGGTTCAACTTTTTAAATGCTAACAAAGTAAAACTTATTTGCTTTAATTTTGTTTGACTGTATCTTGTATCTTGTTTAAGAAATCCTTCCTGGGACCAGCAGTTAGTGTAATGGCTATGTGGCTGGTCTCCCATGTAGTCAACCATGGTTCAAGTCCCAGACCCAGTGGCTAGTGGCTTAAACTCATGCAGGTCACGTATGCGTGCGTGCCCAAGATCCCGAGAAGAGAATGGAGGAGAAGGGATTGTGACGTGGCCATCCCTCCTGGGGGGTGATTTCTCGCTTTCTGTCTCTGTTTCTGTCTTTCTTGTGAGTGCAGGTGCCCTATAGCAAAGTCCTCTCAAAAAAAAAAAAAAAAAAGAAAGAAAGCAATCCTTCCTTATCCCAATGTCATAAAGGTATCACCTACACTTTTTTGAAAAGTTATAAGTCTTATTTTCACCTTCAGATCTCTAGGTCCCCTGCAATTTCTTTTTGCCTATGGATTGAAGTACAAATCCAATTTGATTTCCTTCCCGGTGACTTTCTGACTCCCATGAGAGTCTCGCCATGTGTAGGGCTGTCTGAAAGTTGTGTTATTTTCGATTTGTCTATCTCATTGTGCCAGTTCCACACTCTATTAACCACTCTGACTTTATAATAAATCATAATATCTGGGCCAGCAAATCTCTTCCTAGTTCTGCTTCCTGAGGAACGTGTTGGCTATTCTTGGCTCTTGAATTTTCTATGTGTATTTTAAAATCAGCCTGTGAAGCGCAATCAAATATTCCAATTCAGTTTTCATTGGAACCGCATTAATTTGTAAATCAGCTAGGGAGGGCCGATATCTCTAAGACTGAACCTTATACCCACAAGTGCACTATCATCTTCATTTATTTGTATCTTTAAACTTTTTTGGCGTGTCTTTTGTTAAACATAGTCGCTGGTAGAGAAGCCATTTTACCCAGTTACTAATGAAGGAGTTCATCTGGGAGCTTATTTTAAATTCATTTAAATAGTTAACGGGCTTATTTTAAATTCATTAGGCTGGAGAGCAAACGGGGCTCTAACCCCACTGCTAACTCATTCTGCTATTCCCCACCTCAGTCTCCTTCGTTTAACTTGAATTCAACGTGAATACGGCACGGACCACGTCCCACCTGCTGAGCCGTCACGACCACGCACAGCTCTCTGCAGGTACGTCTGGCTTCCCTTCTTCCCCGGCGGCCTCCCGTCCTGTCTCCATGCAGTAAACGGTCCAGTCTGCAGGACACACACTGCGGGCCCCAAGGCGCGCCCTGTCGTGAACGAGGGCGTTGGGACAGGAAACTGCCTTCCCTCAATCCAGTGCCCTCCGCACCTGCATGTGGGAACGTCTTTAGACCGTTTATGGAACAGTTCTCAATATGTTTCTTGCACCGAAATAGACTTGTAGTTCAACTCCATGCCGTTCCCACAGACCCTCGGAAGTACCTGAGTGTGGTCAGCGGGCTGTTTTCATCACTTCCCACGGTGCCTCCCACACACCCTGTGGACGGCAGTTGGGCTCCGTCTGAGGCCTGGTCGTTCCCCAGGGCACCAGGGCAGGGAGATGCAGGAAAGGCCCGGGACCTGGGCGTGGGCGTGGCGTGGGCTCCTACCTGATGATGGCCGGTGGGATGAAGCACACCATGAAGACCACGATGCTCATGCCGGCGTCCAGTAGGGGTCATCAGGCCACAGGGCCCAGCACCCCAGCACTGCACTTCCCCACTGGAAAGCGTCCTCTTCCCGAAGGTGATCAGGGTGGGGATGGAGAACGGGAAGGAGAGGCTCCAGGCCACCAGCACGAGGACCTTGGCTTGCTTCTCTGCGCAGAGAAGAGAGAGTGCCGGGGTGTGGGAGCCCTCGGGGACACGCTGGGCCCCTGACGGAGAAGCAGTGCAGCCACGAGAGCGTGAAGCGGTGTCAGAGCGGACTGCAGAGGTGCCCCCCGGGTCTCCCCAGAGCAGCACAGGCTCCGACCCCAGGGCTGCTTCTCGTGCTCCTGCTGGGTACCCTGGACCCCCACACCCTCTCAGGCTCTTATGCAGCCACACGGCAGGAAGGACACCTAGCCCGCTGCCCGGAGAGTGACTGCTCAGGACTGGGGACTCAGGACCAAAGGGGTGAAACGCAGGCGAGAAGGCCGAGTGAGCCAGCCCCTGCTTCCCTCCCCACCAGGGCCGAGTGAGCCGGCACCCTGCCTCCCTCCCCAGGGCCGGGCGAGCCGGCCCCTGTGCCTGTCCCCCACTGCAAGTCAGACACCCTCTCCTGTCTGTCTTGCCCAGTCCCGCACTGTCTGCCTTACATTCCTCCTCTCTGCACGGCACAGCCAGCCTGTGAAAACCCTTCAGGTTACCTGCAACGATTGCAGAACACTAGCAAATGAAAGTAAGCAAAAAGGAGAAAAAATGGACCACAGCGTCACCCAGGAACAGCCAGGTGAGATTTGGTAATGGGGCCAGCGGGTGGCATGGTGGCTAAGGCACTGGACTCCCACGTGGCCGCCCGCAGTTTGAGTTTTGGGCCTGGGTGCGTGTGCAGAGAAGGGGCTGCAGCATGGACATGGCCCCAGGG